AGGCCGGGAAAACATGATGTACGTCACATTGCCTTTTCGGTTCTCTCTTTTGGTGATTTATTCGGCATGTATGACAACAAGACGGTATCTTGAAGAAGATTTCAACCGTTGCCGATGTGCACTACAATATATCTATATATATATATATATAAGGTCATTGTACCATTTTTACGATTCGCGCGTTTGCGGTGAGATGAATTCTTAATTCGGTTGTCGCTTAGTGGTTGCCAGTGGCCACAGTCTGTGTGTTGAGCGCATGCTAAATAACCTTACTACACTTATAACGGACGTTATATTAAACTATTCACCTCCGACTGGCTATAGAGCCTATACATGGAATGTCTTACGGGGTGCAAAACAAAAAGGAAATGTACAACACGGCACGCCAAAATAATAATTTCCATTCGTCGCGGGCCTAGTGTTTTTTTTTTTTTGTTTAGTCTTTTGACCCGTCAAAATTGGTTTCCGTTATTAAACAACAGAATACGATTATTTAGATTTTATACGGTATTCATATTCTGTTTCCTACGCACATAAACAAACCCACACATTTTTGTCTTACTATATGGCGACCAAGTATGGCGTCGCGTCTGCGTTGTTTTGACCGGCGTCTATATATTTACCAGAGTAAATAAAAATATACAGGTACATCCGGAAGTAGTTGCAATACTCTGTGGATCATTATTGTTTAAAAAAAAAAGCTGCCCTACGTTTTGGAAAACACACCTTTGATGTCAGCGGTCTTTGCGAAACCGCGATAAAACATGGCAAATAATATATGAGGGAAAACATGCCAAATAATAATAATTATTGAAAGGAAAAGTAAAAAACTTAAGCAGTAACTCATAACCGCTAGCCTACCACCAAATGGCAGCACAATACAATTTTTTAATAAACCTTGTTTTTCTATAATTAAGACCAATGTGGCTTACACCACTTTTAACACCCTCGTGTATTTCCATACAGCAATAATATATTTTAATAATATTTCATGGAAAAATTAAACAACTTACAAAATCTTTGTACATAATGTTTATAGCTGCAAATAAAATTAGTTAAGTAACACAAATGTTTCAGTAATTTTATACACGTAATTTGAGGAGCATTGGAGGGCGCTCAGCCTAGTTTTTTTTAACCCTTACATTATTTTAAACAATTGCCAGTAATACATTTTTACTTTTCACACATCTTTTCAGGTGTGGTTTTATATTGTCGATAAATACATAATATTCATTATTCTTTTTCATTTTTAAATTTAAACTTAATCCTTTTTATTACAATTTATTTAATTTAAAATATTCAAATTAAATATCATTGACATAGCGCAATTCGGGTCAACAAATTAGTGGCGCTAGATTTTTAGGAATCTTACAGATTATTAACTTATTCTTATTATTACCTTAGATCATTATCTGTATTATCTTTAAGTATCACGAAATAATAATGATAATTGTTAATGATTGAAACATTCGAGGAAAATATTATATAGGCATAGTTTTTTAAGCGCTGCATGAGTTATACAGCCATTGCGGCGGGGTCACGTCAGTAGTTTGGGTACAATCGAATTGTAACTGTTCCATGGACAACTGCTTGTAGATAAACGCTTTGATCTCGCACATTCGAACCACCCGGTATAATCAAATTCAGATATCGCGTGTTCGTCTATACTAAGCCAAATTCCGTAACGTTAAAATTGTTCTAGTGCTAAAGGTGAACAAATTCGGTCAAGGCGTTTTACGCTCATATTGTTGTTGTAGATTTTTTTTTTAATATGCGTTTGTTGTTCTACGCCACTCTTAGGCATTTGACAGATTATATCGTTGCTGTATGCCTTCTACGACAATGCACCGGCGATGGTGCATTGTCGACGGATGTATACCGTATACGAGTAGTTGGTATTTATATATATATAATATAATAAATAAGTTTAATATAAAACAAATTGCAAATATGCGCCTCTCACACCTGGTGACAGACCTGCTGGCGGCCGGTACGTTTTCACCATTTATGGTCTACACACGACTCCAACAGTGTGTCAGTACAACGCACCGACTGCATGGTGAACTTACCTAACTGCAGGGAATTATAATTTTGATATTATTATTGTTATCAAATAAGATTCTCTTTTCGTTTGACTCAAATAATTATACCGATATTGCTTTCTAAAAACAAACCTCGACAATTTACAGAAGGTCCATAAGAGTAACATTGAAAAATAACGACTTATTTTTCAAACAATCGTAAAACAAATTTGTTATCTTCATATTTTGAACAATCATGTTTTGCTGGTTTTTTCCCAATCGTTCCAGTCCTTTGTCGAAGAAACCGACCTAACACTTACCTACCCTACTGTGCTCTGCTACTTGATCTTAGGATATTTTTAGTGTATCAAAAGGACACCTTAAAAATATTTGATGATACATACTTGCCTTGCATGAAGTGCGCAACACTCGAGACACCCTGATACATTACGCCGCTGCGTCCTGGACGAAGTTGTTCATTGGTTCCTGACTTGACCTAAAAATGGTTTTGTTTTTTTAATTTGCAATGATAACTTAGTTTTTTTTTCAAATAAATAATATATTATTCAAAAGTCTGGACGGGTATTCAAATAAAGGTTTCACTGAGCTTTTCATACAAGTTGTTATTATTTAGAACAATACCTAAAAGCTACAACATTATATTTACAACATTGTAAATATAGGTATATTTACAATGTTGTTGTTTTCTGTTTTTTTTTTTTTTTTAATTAGCTTACCGCGTTGTACACCACAGGACTTTTTTTTATTATTATTGAACGGAGTGCCACCAAATGCGTCTTCGCCAATAAAAAAATCTAGCGACGGTCGTGGTCGACTGGTTTAAAAAAATAGGGCGTTTTCCATAACGATTTGTGTGGAGATTTTCAAAAAATTAAAAAAAAAAAAACCGTGGGATCGGGTGGGCGAATTGACGGTATTTTTGCTGTCCGATAACATTTCCTTAGGCTCTTTTTCACGAAAACAGTATACAACCGATTGCGGTTCATTGGCCGCCGACGGACGTCTTTCTCGCCCATTCAAGAGTAGGACGACCGACCGATCACGAGCCACGCTAAAAAAACTTTAAAAAAAAAAAAAACACCCAATGTACTTACACTCTTCTGGCACATCGGCGAGCGCGGGGTGGGGGGGTTCTCACTCGACTTGTCACGTTGCTGTTATTATTGTATTGTTGTTGGCTGTTGCTGCTGCCGTCGTGGACCCGTTCCTTTCTTCGATATTTCCTCCTTGGGTTTTTTTTTTTTTTTATTGTTTTATTGTTCGTGCGCAATTTATCGGTTTGCCGGCGCTGTCGCCGCGGTGTCAATCAAAGTCGACCGGAAGTCATTAACAGAAATCGACCATTTCGACATCATTACCCGCCGACGGGTGTTGAGAGCAAACTCGGCCAAAAAAAAAAAAAACAACGTAAAGCCACCTCGTTCACACCTTTGACATTCGCAACATTTGCCGGTAGCAGCTGCATTAAAAAAAAAAAAAAAGAATACAGAAATAAAAGTAAACAGTTATGATAGTAAAAAATCATTTATCCGAAAACAAATTAACAATCTACAGCAACGTTGTTTTTATAATATGTTGTTATAACGAGCATTTGACTTTAACGGAAGTTTTTTTTTTGGAACTTACTAATTTACTTGACCCAAAAATAAGCGTGTGTTAAAAATAACGAGTTTTATTTTAATTCGTATTTCACAATAGTTTTTGTTAAGAGAACGCGCGCTATATATAGCACTGTTTATCTGTGTATTATAAAATCAATGTTTTTTTATTAATTTTAACCTTATGTTTTGCAATAAAATACTATATTAGTGAGTTTTAATAAGCAATCCTGTTGGAATTCGGTATCAGCAACACAGCCTGACTATGCCATGAGTCTCCAGTCGACGTGTACGGATTAAAACGACGTTTCATAAAAAAAAAAAAATACTTGCTAAAAGTCGATCGTCGGGTTAGACCTGCTGCTGCAACGATCATGATCTAGTCTGAGTGGTGAGCCGCGTTCTTACTTGTTGCCGCACAATCTGTAATCACTTGATTTATTTTCGCAATACTAAATAATATATATGTATGTACACACTATACACAAACTACTAGTTTTTGCGTTTATAATACCTGGTTTTGTAAAAAAAAAAAAAAAACTATTTCCTGAATATTAGGTTGGTGCGGTTGAATATGATATTATGTAGATTATGAAGGAAAAGGTACATACTTTCTTACTTAATAATATATGCAATACATACTATTATATTAAAAAATCTTTTCAATTAATTGGCAGTTTTGTTAATTATTTGAACAACGTTATAGTTTTGTCAGTTTCGAATACGATTTTAAATATACCAAATTATGCTGCTCATGTACTTTTAATACATATTTGTTATCAATCGTTCTTGGCTCGACTTTAAAGATTATTTATTTGTAACAACTATCTATATTAAAGACTATATTATTATAAAGAGACAATGACCAAAAACTCCCAAAAAAAAAAAAAAAATTTAGTAGGTTACCAAATTGTTTTGAGATAATGTTAACTATTCGTATTTGATATTACTGTGTGTTAGATTTGTTATTTTGTCTATTAGGTAGCCATCTGACGTTTATAAGTTTTGAGATATCCAAAAGGTTAAACGGTTCTATGTATTATATTAATAAAAATATGTATTTTCTTTACGGTTTATTAAATAGAACTTTTTTAGCGATTGCGTTGTATGTTCTATCCGTCGTATTTGAATTGTATTGTACAGTAAATGTAATCATACAACATTGCTAACAAGAAGAAGGGGTTCGGGTGGAATAAATGTTGGTTTTGGGAGGTTTCCGATCAGTTGTTCTCCCTCGTTGCAAATAAAAAGGACTACCGTATACTATTATGTTTGTGTGTGCCGAGTCAGTACTACTGACTGATGATATTTGTATTATATTATGAGTTTTTTAATAACGGATATTTTCATTCGTTTTCAGTTCGACGCGTACGTCAAGTCGTTGAACGTCGAACCACAGGCGCCCATGTTCCGGCTGGTGACCGACGGACAGCTACCCATCCGACAGTGTTTGCACCGCGAAGCTTCCATCAAAGACATTGAACTACCCGAATACTACAACGTGTTCCACGACCTCCGGAAAGATGTGTCGAATTTCTACAACGCTCCCCAAGAGCAGTCGTTCAACTCAATTCAAGATCTAGTGAACTGTATCCTTTTAATGCGCGATCATTTCCAATATATTATTATCATCTTGTTTTGTAGCCGTTTAAGCACTCGGCGTACACCACCGTCGCCGGCTATAGTACTTCCATAATAAGTCTGTGTATATATTTGTTAAAAATACATTTTTTTTATTACCCTCGGGTAATATATTATAAAAATAATATTGAATATAATTAAATTCGTAATAGTTATTATTGTCGTTGGAGCCGCGCGCCGCGCTTATTATATTATATAGCTGATATTATGTACGAGACACACTCGTGAGTGACGTTAGACCCTGATTACTGAATGTGATATTTTCAAGTTAATCGAAAACAAGTTTTACCCGTTTCAGTTTAGATTTCAATTTCCGGTTTTCGCGCTACAGAAAACGACACTGTAATATTTCGATAATAAAATATACCCGCGGCGCCTGTTGTTGAGTAAATGACAAATCGAGTCCAGCTAGTAAAAACTCTACACTTTATTAGTCGTTGCTTGACGGAAACCTTTATTCATTAATTATCCAAAGAATATAATAAAACTACAGCTGTATTGCAAAATTGCACTGAACTCCCAAGTCGATAAAAAAACGCGACTTGTGCACATTTCCACTGTAGTCTTAAGCAAACGATATTTATTTGTTGCACGCTTTTTTACTAGTTTTTTTTAACTGTTAAACATGATTGCGATATTTATAAATTATTGTTTTCCGTTAATCCGACAGCCCTCCGTCCTCCTCCGTTTGTTTAGATAGAATTTAATAACACAGAAAAATAAAACCATTTAATTTAGTCACTTAAAAATCGTATAAGTATTAAATTCGTTTTTTCAATAATAAAGTAAAAGTAAAACACATAGGATAAATTGCTTATGGATTTCGGATTAGTCGTGCCTATTGGCTTAACGTTTTGTAACTATTATTCTGTTTTCTTTTCAGCTTTCTTTACTAAACAACTATAATATATCTCTGGAGAAATGATGCCGCTATTATAAACTTCCTGTGGGTTCGATTATTATCATACTTTTGTCAAGGTATACATCTATGCCCAAATCAAACAATAGTAATCGTTTATTTCGTTTGTCGTGCTGCGAAGGAAAACAATCGTAAGCCTGTGTTGTAAATCGTAGTTTTTGTTGCTTTTATTGACTTAAATTATTGGGTCAATTAGAAGTCATCAATACACAGTGTTCTTATAGCGATTTGTCATTACCCAACATATATGTACAACCAATTAAGGGAGAAAAATTTACAATTTTACACTTGTCGGTACTTTAAATTTTTCTCCTGGTTATTTTTAAAAGATTCAAAACCCAAATATTAGACCAAAAAGCCAGACAAAACGTCGACTACTTAGGACGAATGGTCCGATTTCAATAATTTCGTAAACGAATTCTTTGGCAACAGGTTATGTAGAAAACGGATTTTTAATGTATTTATTTTTTTATGTAAAAACTTTGGGTTTTAGTATTGAAAAAATTCCAAATTTAATTTATTTAATTACAAGATACTAAAATTGTTTAAATGAAAATTACATAGAAACAGACCGCATGCAATCCTCAATGATAAATTTTTACTTCTATAATAAAGGCCCGACCAAAATAGGCGATCAAGTCGTCGTTTATGTAATTAATTATAAAATGGTATATTATATTAAAACACAACACGTTGCCCCGTTAAGTATAGGCAAATTAATAATCATTTGTGTGTAGGTGTCACGCGGAGCATCAACTCTCAAATCAGGCGCTCACTCTCGTGTTTCGCTCTTTTACAGTCCATGCACATAATATTATTCGGTCGTTTTTGAAACTATTATAATAATATACTCGAATTATCATTCGGTTATTTAATAACTATTTGCACACATCACATTCTAACAGAACAACAAGAATCACTCCTAATTGTTGTATTAGGGCTGTGGTCAACTTAGTTGCATTAAGTTATTTTATTTTGATTTTTAACTATTGTGTTGACAATTCTCGATTTGAGTTGGTAGTGAAATTAAAATAACATTTTTCCGTTTTCCAAATTTCAGTTATTTAATAATAATAAATTCCGCCAGTGTATTTAACTTTAATCGTGTTAAATTATACATTATTTTTGCGTTTGTTCATTTTCATTTCTAATGGCATATTTTGACAGTGTGTAAGTGTACAACCTTTGTTTCACTGACATTAGAACAGTTAATTTTGATACTTCTATATACTTATTTCAAAAAGGTTTTTTATTTTGTAATACCCCTTTTTTCTCGCTTTGTGTGCTTAATCAAGATCTATAAATTTGGGGTCGTCTTAAAGATCTAGTTCCCCGCAAGGTGCGCCTATGAGTTTTACATTTGCACGTTGTATTAGCTGTCCAAAAATCGAAGTTAAAGCAATCGTATGCACGTCTGAGCCGGTTGTTTTTGTGTATTGTTTTGGTTACTTAATAACGCTGTTCTTTACATAATATCTGATCTCAGGGGATTAGTGTTCTTGTGTGTAATTTTGTTTTCTATCCAATGAAATGTTCGCACGGGTCAACTATTATTTTATTATGAAAACATAAACTTTACTGCAAATAGCGCGTTAACGTTGAAACCTTTTGACAATTTTGGATTTCCTCGAGTTGACCGCTATTTTTGAATAAAATTGGGTCAATTGTAGAATTCCCAAATCTTCTGTAGCTATTGCAATCTTTATTTTTAAAGATATATATAAAATATTAAAGAATATACAAAAATATATTTTTTTTTTTGCAAAGAACTTTATTTTTCATAGAATTTTTTTAATATTGAATTTTACAAGCCACGGGGGGTTGCAATAATCGAATTTCAAACATTTGTCTAGTCGAAAACCACGGGGGTTTTAAACAAAATGATATTCTATACCATTTTTTTTTTGTTTGTAACTACTTTGACAAGCGGTGTCACGTGGATATGTTATTCATAATAATGGTCGGACGTCATAACATAATTCTGGGAAACTGAGCAGCTTCAGCATTTTGAGTTAACGTTATCCAACATTTTACACCATGCGTTATATTTATCTTTATAAGCCATCTATTCGACATCAGACAAAGGTATTGAAAACCTTTGTAAGGTAAACAGCGATACAAAATATATAACTTCTACAAAATCACTGTTATGTTATTTTAAAAGTAAAAAAATGATTAATTAATACAATTTTTTGAATACTAAAGTAAGGTCATCTAAAACAATGCTTCAGCTACAGTTATGGCAAAATTTAATGCGTTTTTTTTCAAATAAAAAAATCCAACTACATTTGCCCTATTAGTCCATTTCAGTTACCCTATTTGACCTTACAATATAATTGATAATAGTATTCCATTATAGGATTGAGAGAGGTAATTGATTTTGATTATGTTACTTATTTGTTGATAAATAATTTGTTTTCGTTATAGCTGTAGTGCAAATAGTGCAGCTGTTTTTTATTTGTAATAAAGACTTGTAATTCCATATTATTGTTCTGGCAAACAGACTTACGTTTATTATTGTTAGTTTTTAACTGGCTCATTATAAAATTGAATTCAAATTTATTTATGTTAACTGATGGCAAATCAAATTTATAATTAAACCTTACGTAATATTATTTTAATAATTTGAAAAAAAATAACATTAAATATGGCGGGCTTAAGATCGTACTGTTATGTCACAAAAACTGTTTTAGAGCGCTCAATACAAAGTTAGTTAAACGACTATGTTACGGTATGCAGTTTGGGATTGCATTGCTTATAAAAAAAATGTAAAATTTTTTATTAGATAAATTGATTATTCAACCAACCATTTACAGTGTGCATCTATAAAAAAAAGTTCCATCTTAGATATAGAAATAACTTACGTAATGTAAACGCTATTAAACTGTATCGCATGTTTGTATTTTAATCAAGTTCTTCGATCTTAATGAACGATTAAGGGTCATAGAGATTATCGAATAATGGCCGTTGAAAGATACGGAGAAAGATAAAACGTCTTAACGATCCTTTTTTTCTTCTTTTCCCCAACGTTTGGCGTTTATCGGCTTAGTCCAGAAGGAATCTATATTGTTAGTAATCTAGGACCTAGGTGTTATGTTTCTTCGGCCAATACAACCAGCGTTGTCTCTAAATATTAAAATAGTAATAAATCTAATCTGAGATTATTGTGCGTTATCATTCTACCCGCGGCTTGGGTACACCACGCCGTGCCGGCCATTCCCAGTTTATATAATAATTATAATCAAATACTGGCCTTTGAGAATATTACACCGTGCTAATCGTTCGTTTTCAATACTTAATTTACACTACCGACTTGTGTTAATGTGTACTGTCTATGTGAATTTTGTGTCCTATCACAAAATAATGTAATAATTGCGGGTTTAATCGCATTTTATCGACTTCGCGTCCCGTTTTTTTTTCTTCAATAGTAATTACTCGCCATGCCGGAAACCAAAAATAAATGTGCCGTGGTCGATGAGGTCAGAATTTCAGAAAAGACGCTGAGCTAAGTGGATTCGAATACGCTGTCAACGGTCGGTAGGTAGTAGCGGTAAGAAGATAATGTGGTGCTGAGTGGTGTAGCGTTCAAATTACACCGATTCCCTGTCAATCTTAAAAACGTATTGCATCTTGGAAATGTTAAATAAAATAAAAACATTACCAGGTAGGTTGCAGTAGACACATCAGTGCCGATCACCGTGGTTTTTAATAAATGAGCAAATAACAATTAATGACCTAGTTGTCTCGGTGGCGAACTTAGCTTGAAGTGACAAGAGATTTAAACGGGCGGAGTGTGAATTCATTTAAGGGATGGGGTTGAATTTGTTTTCCTAGGTTTCCAAAAAAATGTCCAACTACTTTATCAGTAACGATATTTATTTAAACCGTATCTATTTTAAAACTGACCTTTGCTCTTAGTTTTATAACGGGGAATTGATAGAAATACATTTGAAACAATGTGAGGGCCGGTTTTGCCCTCTGTTGTGCCTCTAATTGCCACCCTATCAGCACATAAATATACATCCGGAG